AAGAGTTTCATATTTTACTTCACTAATTTAAGTAAAACGTGAATTATTCCAGCCAAACAAAACGATGTAACCCTCAGAACAGCCGAGGGATGGGGCGCGTTTGATTGTCTCACCCTGTCAAGGTCGGGATGGACCAGCGCGACGTAGTCATTGCAGGCGATGACGTTACCAAGCGCGGACAGCCTCTCCTCGACTCTCTGGATCCTCACGGTGTCTGGGAGGCAGTTTCTGATGTGCTGCAGCTCCTGGTCTGTCGTGTTGTTGGGAACCAGGAGGCCGTGACGATTTCCTGAACAAACGGGAACGAGTCGAGTGAGTCTGACTGCAGCGGTCCGAGCACAGAGGAGTGCGACGGCCATGTTTAAAGATGAAGGCAAGCAGTGGTGTGTTGTGAGGGATGCATACACTGCACACATTTATCCAGATTTACTCACCCACACACATCCTCCCGATGATGCGACAGCCTGCTATGGAAGCGTGAACCACTGGGATGGTTTCTGACAGCTCCCCTTCAAACACACTGAACACACAACATCAGATTACTTCCAACAGACGAGGAAAATATACGTCAACAAGAACCAAGTGAAACACTGATATCAGTGATCACGATCAGTAGCCACGAGGCTCCCACTTTGTTGGACTTTCAGCTCTGCTTTTTGCAGATGCTGTGGCTCTGTTGGTGGCCTCCAGCTCACACTGGAGCGTTAGCTGCAGAGTCTGAAGCAACAGAAATGAGAATCAGCACCTCCAAGTCTGAGGCCACAGTCCTCAGCAAGAAAAGGGCGGAGTGCCCATTCCGGGAAGGAGTTACTGCCCCAACTGGAGGAGCTTAAATATTTCAGGGTCTTCACAAGTGAGAGGAGGGAGGAGTGGGAGATGACAGATGGACTGACGCAGCGTTAGCAGCGACGTGGATGCTGTACCGGTCTGTTCTGGTGAACAGAGACCTGAGTGTGGAAGTGAAGCTGTTGAATTGGTGGCAGATCTACAGCTCCACCCTCACCTACAGGTTCTGGGTAGTGACTGAAAGAATCACACTGTCACACGGTCAGGGACTCGGAGTAGAGCCGCCGTTCCTCCTCATTGAAAGGAGCCAGGTGAGGCGTTCTACAGGGAGGAGGCCTGGGGGCGGAGCCAGGGAACGCCTAGGTGTTTACCAAAGTGGTGATGGATGGAGATTATTAAGTTTATTATTATAACACAGCTGACTGAGACCGGATCACCTGGACTGACTCCGGTAGCAGGAAACACACCTCGTTATAATAAAGGCTGAGGAATGTGACGCACCTTGATGACGTCTGGCTGTAACTTTGGGTCCCAACTTCACCTCAAAGTTATCAAAGTGTGGCGCTTGTTCAGAGGTGAACTCACCTGTAGAAGTTCTCGGAGCCGCCGATGGCCACCAGGCAGTACGTGTTGGTCAGTTTGGCGAAGCAGCCGATCTCGTTGTTTTTCTCAAAGGCGGCTCTCACAGCCATGATGAAGACGGAGGAAGAGGTGGATGATTTACCTGTGAAACACCTGAAAACCAGCAGTGACGGTTTAAAGCCCGAAGTCACACCTGTCTGTCTGTTTACCTGGATATTTACGAGCGCTGACAACCAGCTAACTGGCTAACTAACCGGCTACTTTCCCTCAGGTTAGCTTTCAGACCGGAAACGGTCTCATTAAAACGTTTTTAAAATCACTGGACACCCTAAACGTCACACGCCGTGACGTCAGTTCTTCAATAACTTGGTAAAATTTACGTGAAAAGAGGAGAAATCACCTGAAACAGACTCGTGGCCTCCAAACATGCGATGTGGTGCCGTGCCTCAACCCCACGTGTTCACTTCCGCTTCGGGGTTAACGTGGTGACGTAAGACGTAACACAT